GTCAGTAAAGAAAGTCCTGTTTGGCTGGGCGTTTTCTTCTTTCTTAACAAAGGCCTACATCAAACATTACAGGCTCCCATCATCTGAATTACCAAATGCTATTTTCCATTACTGCAGGAGAAATCCCAAAGGTTTGTCCAGTCATTGATGCTGACGTGGTGGGAAGTTGCGTTGAAGATTGTGGCGACGAGAGCCCCTGCCCTTCAGGACAAATTTGCTGCTCCAATGGTTGTGGACACACTTGTGTAGAAGGTACCGTTACAAAATCTTGCAATCATTAAACATGCTTTCCCAAAGACAAATTTCATGTCTCCACCATAGCTCCATCTATTTCCATAACCCTTTCAGTCCCAAATCCCCCAATTTCAGTGTGATTTTACATACATCCTAGGGGGTTAGGGTTAATGAAAACAGCAGTGACATAAGACTCACCTGATCACGTTGATCGGTTTTGGTAAGGGGAGAATTCTTTTTTAACCGGCTGTAACTCGAGGTTGACCCCGAGGTAACTCGGGGTTTTTCATGGTACCGCCAAGGGTTCTCTATAATGAGCTCATTATCTTTGGGTCAATGAGCTCATTTATCTTTGGGTCAAGCACCAAGCACTGTGGTCATCAAAACCTGGCTGCTTCATCTGGCTGCAAACGCACACAATAGAAATGCTTGATTACGCCTTAATCTTCTTCCTTATCCGCAATGTCCACGGCGACATCAAAGGCGTAGAAGTTGAAAGACAGTCTTTTTGGGGGGAGGAAAGCTTGAAATTCTAACAAGTCATAAATGATTAAACTTTTGAGCTTGGCCATTTAGTACTTACTGCTTCTGAATGCATGATGTTTATCAACAGACTTTCTTATACTAAAGTCTTTCCTCTCCTTGCCCATACAGGTGGATTGTACATGTCATGGCTTTCCGTTCAATGTATTAAATACAGATCAACTTGGTTCTGAGACTATAGCACATTTCTCACATTTAAGTGAACCCCTAGCCTCAACCATGGTTGAATACAAGCAGTTGAAGTCATTTTAAAAACTATCCTGTTGGAGAGAGTTTTTAA